TTGAAATACCCTGATGAATTCTTAACCAAATATCTGACATCTGAAAGAATTCATTGGAAGTTTATCCCTCCCAGGGCTCCTCACTTTGGAGGTATCTGGGAGGCAGGTGTTAAGTCGTTTAAGTTTTATCTTAAGCGTGCAGTTGGGAGATTGATTTTTACATTTGAGGAGTTTCTTACAATTTTGAACCAGATTGAAGGAATTTTAAATTCACGGCCAATATTCCCTTTGTCAAATGACACCAATGATTTAGAAGCTCATACACCCGCACACTTTCTAGTCGGGCGACCTTTAACATCAATAACAGAGCCTGATTTAACTGATTTTTCTGATAGTTCTTTAAAGCGCTGGCAGCGCACTACTAAAGTAACGCAATATTTGTGGAAAAGATGGCAAAATGATTACAGCAACGATTTAAGTGGTATTTCTCTAAGGATAACGTTAAAAAGGGCACTATAGTTTTAGTAAAGGAAGACAACATGCCCACTTCGACTTGGTTACTGGGTAAAATAGAAGAGGTAATTTATGGTAAGGATAAAAAGGTTAGAGTTGTATTGTAAAAACCAAGTCAGGTTTTTTAAAAAGACCAATAACTAAATTAGCTGTACTACCAGTAGATGTTACATAATTTCATGTATATTTCCTGAGTTCAAAAAATTGTTATATATATGCATTGTATTTTAATTTAGATGTTGTGCATTTCATGTTCTGTGGTTAATTATGTTTATTGCTTTTGTTCATGTGTATCAATTTAAATTTTCTGATATATGATTTGGACTATATGGTGATTTAAAACTGTTTAATTTTGGTCATTGTTAACTATGTAACAAATGCCCAACCCGGGCGGTATGTTAAGGCAGAAGTGATCTGGCAACCACGATGGGAGAAAACGACAACGTGGTTAGCTAGCGGCCATTATTAGTGTGCTTGATTGCGTGCTGAGAGGTGCACCTATGTGATGGCAAGAGTGTCCATCCAAACAGAAGTTAAAAGAAATAAAGCTACAGTCCATTAAATCTTAGTGTTTGTGTTTCATGAGTATGTTTATTCTCGAACAACCCATATGCGTAATATATGATGTTAACATCTCTTATTAATCGGTATAGTGCTACAGATGCCCACAGAAATTCAACTGGAGGATGCAAAAAGGGGCTTTGTGATACAAATCAAATTTTACAGGAGCAAAAAGGAAACTATCCCATTTCTCACAAGAATGTCAGAAACCAATAACAGAAAATTATGAGATCGATGTAACTAGTAACCTTGTAATTCAGCATTTTCAAACATCTTCTGACATTCTAATAAGAAATGGAATAGATTTTTTCCTCGCTCCCGTAAAATTTGGCTTTCGTCACACAACCCCTGTTCTCATCTTCCGATTCAGTTATGTGTCTGTCTTATTATTTATTAAAATGGTGATAAAATCATAAAAATTAGATACATTACTAAAAATAAAATGAATTATTTTAACAGTGTTTCAAAATCGCCTATTTAATTAGTCAACTACTTCAAAATCTGAAAGATTAATCAAACATTTGACGTCATGCTGAAGTAAACATTCTGAAAAATGGTTGTTTTAAAAATGAGCTTCGAAGACTAAGTATGTATCTTACATTTCTCTCAACCCAAACGCCTGAAAAGCCGCGTGGATAAATATCAGCAGATGTAGTGTCACAAATGTCTGTCAGTGAATACACAAGCTGTTAATAATCTACAAATTTTTAGAGGTTGTATTAAAATTCCTTCAAAGAATCATAAGTATAAACAAAAGTAGGTCAAAAGTAAGTCAAAATATTTGTAAGCAAAATCTATTTTTCCAAGACAAAAGGTTTGTAGCCAGAACTGTTATACTGTGGATACTTAATGATGTCTGATTAACAGATATATTATCTATGCCTAAAGACAACATAAATATATCATATTTACTTATGCAGTTAGATTTCTTTAATTAAATTTGATTTATTGATTTAGTTATAATTTTACATCTGACAAAAATAACTTTAATATTTTACACAGCTGGCCTAAAACTGCTACACCAAGAAGGAAAGCAAACAGCATAATGTTATTTGTTGCATATATAGCATAACTGTGCTATTCCAGTTTTTATGAATCGAAGTGGCATACCAGTCTCTCAACGGTCTATGACCAAATGTTCTCAACGGCTGAGAGACACAGAGAACGTGCTTGGTGGAGCAACAATCAAACATACTGTGCAGCACAGGAAGCCTGTGGTCATGCATAATCTTGCTGAAAGATAGCGTCGCTCGGATCTCGAAGATAGGATATAGCAACGAGCCTTAATACACCAGAAAGCACGGCGGTTGTTGCCATTACCCGATATACCAACAAGAGGTAACCAGGATATGTATCCAATTGCGTCCGTATAACGATGACGAATGCGACTTTACAACGTTAGTTCTCTTCGACACCTATATATAAGGATACATCAATCATGATGCTTCCATAAACATGCAGAAACGGAATCCGTCTGAAAAGACGACGTGGTGCCACGCCTGTGTCCAGTATCTTCGTTCGTGGCTCCACTGTAGGCGAGTCTGCCTCTGTAGCAGCATCATCGGAAGCTCCAACAATGGTAGTCATGCTGACAGCGTGTTGTGTTGAAGATGTCATCCCCCTGTCCATTCTGACTCTTCTCCTGCACACGAAGTGGCGTAGCTGTGTGATAAAACCTGAGATAACACACGTCTATCTTCGCAGGCGTTTGTGACCCGAGGCCGCTGAGATACCGAATTACATTCAGTATGATCCTGCTGAATCAACGAATTTCATATTCTGACAATCCAACCAACAAAGCCCACCAACATGAACAGCAATGTCGTGGAAACATAAATCGCAGTTCCGACAGGCCACGATCCTACCTTGGGCGAATTCTGACAAGTGTTAATAGGAGTTTCATCTCCCTAACGAGACATAACACAAGTTATAACAAACAAGCAACTCTCAAATAAATGTGATTTTCAAAGAAGAAGGCCTTTATGAAATTTTCTATTTATGCGCAATAAAAATGGTAGTCCTCATACCTGTTTTGTGCACATATTCTGGAGTGCTAATAATTTGCATATCCCAGCATTCAGGACCTTTCATGCAAATTTTATGTTAGTTATATTCCGCCTTCACAGAGTAGCAATTTCAATGGTCAATAGGGTATTATAAAAGACATTCCTTACAAAAAGCATCGCACTAAAGTACTGCAATTCAATACGGGGTGGGGGACATTTTCAGCATCAATAAAAGCAAATAATATAAATTTATTCTTAATGTATAAAACATTAATGGATTTCCTTGTTTTTTTTATAAAACTATGCAGTTAATTGAATAAAGGTATGAAAGAGGAATATTATTAAGATTACTCAATAGCAGAAATAAAAAATTCAGTTCATATAATGAGAAAAAGTTAATAGCCGGAGGGCTTCATCATTAGGGGAATAAATAACAATAAAATATAATTGGGTGCAGATAGTACAGGTAAATAACCGCACTTTTTGAAGTATGGAATGTAGTGGCTTAGTGAAATTGGTCGCAGCCGTCCTTTTAGTTTGGTGCGAGCAGTCAAGAAGGAAATCAAAATTGTGCCAAATCAGAGATTTACTTCAATTTCTCTTTCTCTCACTACCTATCTATATTATCTTCTAGATTGTCTTTATATATTTTCTTTCCTCTAAATAAAATTTCTTGGAATGTCTAGGAACTATATTCTCAAAATATTTATCACTATTTAAGGAAGTAAAGTTTTATAGCCACAATTCTGAAACATGTATATGCATAATATATTATTGCCCTATATCTCTAGCCAATAAAAATAAATAATCACATTTCAGTTCTAAGTACATCTGCAGATTATATTTTCTACCGCTTATATGATTTTGAACTTCTGTTTCGCTCTTCTTGGAGATTTTTTTCTTCAGAATTTTAGGTTTTTTTTTTTTTTATCTTTCTAACAGTTATTTTTATTTTGGAACAAGGCTTTCCTTTACCGTTTAGTTTCATACCTACATTTTCATTCCAGAATTAGTTTTCAGTATTACGATTTATGCAAATAAGGTAGAAACGAGCATTTAAGCTGAGATTTGAGTTACTTTCATCATCCAGGAGAGCATAATAATATCCATCATATTAAACATCCAGGAGAGCATGTTTTGCTTTTGAGTCTCGTTTTTGGTATTGTTTAAAGCTTGCTATTCTGCGGCCATACCTATTACTTGCCTGCTAGTATATGCCGGTGATCCTTAAAGACAGGCCAAATCTGCGAGTTGATTCTGTGCAGCTTCGACTGATTAATTTTACTTAGTATTAGATTAGTTTGTGTTTTCTATATTGACTTAAAGCCCGAATGGAGACTTCTTGTATGCCTTGTAGGAGACAACTATTAATTCATTTTTGAGTTAGAATGAAAAGGTATTTAACCCTTCTTTGGAGCAAGAACTCAGCGAATAGTCGTGCCATGGCTCTTCAGTATTCCAGCCTTAAAAAAAACTCTATTTCAGCTAGAATAATATGTATTTTTTGCTCGTGAATTATACATCTGTTTTGATTACATAACTTTATAGGAAAGAAACCGCAATTAAACATATGATTTTAGGTACAAGATAAGTTTGAGAGAATTCGTATCATCTTTTAGTACAAATGAAGCCAATAACACTGTTACAGGAAGAATTGTCGTCACGTTTGTCAGGCATAAAATTTTGTCCGAATAATTTGTTTAATGTTTATATTTGCCACAATTATTTGGCTTGTATGCATATATTCAAGCAAAAAAACGAAAACAATATACATCTTTTTCATGTTTTGTTAGTATTTATCAGCAGAATTACGATACTAAGCAATTTATCTGGTGGTCTTAAAAAAGAGTTTATTACGGCAAAAATGAATTGAGCAAATTCGGCTACAGTCAGTATTAATGTAGCTATTGTAATGCAGTTATTAATGTAGCAAAATAATCATAATTGCTATGGCTTATTTTTGACGTTTATATTATCTAGGATTCTTGCCGGCTGTAGATCGATCTGCTCGTGGGAACTACGGCCTTATGGACCAAGTAGCAGCCCTTCACTGGATCCAGGATAACATTGGAGAATTTGGGGGTGATACAGACAACATTACGATCTTTGGACAAGGTCACGGAGCTGCATGTGTGAATTTGCTTATGCTATCTCCTATGGCAAGAGGTAAGCTATTTTTACATATTCATTTCCTTGATGAATATATGACTAGATCACGTATGTCATATTAGTACTCCATAAAATTTAATTTCTTATATAAATTTACTATATTTAGCATCACAGTAGCTATATTACTCATCTCAGTTCTTTGTCCGTATCACATTTCAAATGTTGCCATCAAATGTTATCACCACGATTATTTTTAAAGAAATAATATACCGAGCAAAAATATATGATAAAACAAATAGAGGATGTTGCATTAAATGATATCTTTATGTATCACTATTAATGAAATTATATAACAAATACATAAAATAAAATGCATGGCAAAACAAGTAAAAGAACATTGTCATCAAATGTTATCGCCACGAATTATTGGATAAAATTAATAGTGCAGCGAATATAACGGGAAAATGTGTGGCAATATTTAACACTTTTTCCGGAATTCTAATGAAACATTTTTGTCTTCCACGTGCCAGTTTGTTACTATTTGGCAAAGCGTAAGGTGTATATATATATATATTAATTTAGTTTACCTGGTAATTATTAACAAACTAAGCGATTTAAAGAGTAAGTGCAGTTTTTAATCTCTTTTATTAATTACCAGATACACCCGTCAAATTACACTAACTAAGTTTATTAAAAAGCATTATTAGTCCAAAGAGGCTTTGTCCCTGAGGGACTATTGTTTTCGTTTTGCAATTTTGCGTCGAATCACTTTGAATGTCCGCTTCAGTTTTCAAGCTGCTGCCAGGAAATATTATCACTCTGTATTATGTTTGAAGAAATTAAATAATAAAGAATCTGCGCAAATGTACGTATGTTTCTCACTTTGTGATAAAACAACGATATCTAGAGCCATCTAATTTTAAATGACGTAACCCTATTGCGAATATAGCCATTTGGAAGCCAAAATTTGAAGTTTGGAATTTATTTTATTACTGATTTCATATTTTGTAAAATTTTAACGAATTTTTGATTAACAAACTCAAGGATTTCAAAGCCAGCAATGGCAACGTTTTACTGAGAAAGCATTTTTATCTCATGAGACTGCGTATCGGAAATTATAAAGATATGCTCAATTTAAAATTATTTTGCGATATTACTCTTGAATTGGATTTTATACTTTAAGTGCGAAGAACATGTCATTTAATAAATAAAGATAACACACAAAGTGTTAAAAAAACGGCCCTTTGGACGTAATTTAAAATCTGAAACCTAGCAGATTTTTTTTTTTTAATTTTTTATTTTCCATAGAAACTAGTTTAGGCGGCAGCCTGCTCCAGCGGTAGTTAATTGAAAATTTAAACGAACAAAAAAACTATTTAGAGCAAAAGTGAGGTTGAATTATAAAGCTTGTGGGAAAAATGTATGGCAATACTTATCACTGTATCCGTAATTCTCATGATATTCTGCTTTAAAAAAAATACATCTGATTAAGCCTACAACAATCTAATACCATTTAAGAAATACGGAATAAAGAACAGGCATCTTAGGGCCAAAATCAGAGACGTTCTTATACATATTCAAAGACTCGGACTGGATATTTGTCATATCTAATGCTTATTCATGTCCATATATTACTAAAGTATATTTATTTAATTATTTTTTAATTTAATGTTCCAACAATTTCATTTTTTCTACGCAATGCTGATGGACAGGAGCTCCAAAGACTTGCTTATTACACCTTCCACCTTAGAAAGGACATTTTTCATACATTTAGACATTTTGAAGCATCAGTTGTTGAACCTGTCAAGGACAGTCTTTTCTCAGTATGATTTGTACACTATTAATACCAGAAATCAGTTATCTCAGAAAGTCCTCTCAAAGGGTTGATGGTAAAGAAAGAGGGGCGGGAGATCCTTGGACCCCCCGGGTGTTCTCTCTCAAAATTGGGGTGGAAAGTTTAACAGCTAGCTAGGTTCAACAATAACTCAATTACCTATGGTACTACAGAGGAGCTGGCCTAGCTTCTACTTGTACCTGTTCAATTGTATTATTTTCAGAGCACAGCAAAATTTTCGTAACAATGTTCTTTTAAATTAATGTTATTCCATCAAAATTTAATATGGAACATATTGTCTTCAGATCTTTTTCCTGTATTTTGTATATTATACTTTATACAAAGCATGCAGATAAATCTAATTCTTTGCTCTTGTGTGGCCATGTAATGTCTTGATTTCGGAGTGTAGCTTTAGATAGTTGCTGGATCCGGACGATAACCGGTTAGTCTATACAAGCCGCCCGGCTGACCAGACCTGCTCTGAACAGTCACCTGTTGAAATGTATTTGGCTTATGCGTAAAGAAAGTGATACTTAGAAGGAAAGGTAAAAACACAGAAAAAAGATTGAGGAATGCTTTTAAAATTCTATATAATATTTTTTAAAATTAATTAATACATTTCTGCTAAAAAGCAAGAAGAGAATTTAGGCATTCAAAACCGAAAAAGAGTAGAGAATTAATGCTACACATAGCAGTTAGTAGAATTTTTAACTTATGTGTTTATTTATTAAAAGCCATTACTTAATTTATCTCTGTTATAAAACTAACTTTATTGGTAGTTTTTCATGAAAAGTATCTTTTAAAAATTATTAGAAAACGAAAATGAGTTACTGCCTGAGATTACCTATATTAAAGTAGCATAGTTAGTTATGAAGTTGTAATTCCATTTTTTTACCTTTGCTAATATGATATTCTTTTCAAAAAAAAAAAGTCTTGCTTCGTTTATGTTTATTCGTCTTTCTAATGTGTTATTAACATCATTATATACAGCGTGTAGTTGATCGCTTGGATATTGAATCGTTATTCCTTGACGGAACATGTCAGGAGTTAAGCACATAATATTTCAGTAGGAAATTTGAATTTATTGGATTATAACTAAGCCCTCTATAGCTATCTACCTAAGGAGAGGAGTGCATTTGTGGAGCAGTTTCTTTTAAATTGGCTTATATCTCTGTTATATCTCAGTTATCCATGTTATAAAAATACAAGTTATATCCATGTTATCAAAAATAATTGAAATTTGTTATTTTTTTTTGTATCACTCATTGGAAAAATTCAAATTAAAAATTATACATAGAGATTAGATTTTAAATGTTGACTTTTTTATTCTTTTTAGAAGTAATATTTAAATACAGTGAACCTTCTTGCCGATAACCTTCGTAAGATGAACCCTGTTTGAAATATTATGTTGTTACCAATAAGTATTGTTTAATACTTATTCTTAACAATAAATATTAAACAATATGTATCTAATATGATGATATTCACAGACGATTATAAATGTATGAACTCATGAATAGTAGTTTTAAGCCGATTTTATAGTCAGATATTTCATATTAATACCTTAAAATATTATGCAAATTTTCAAATATATTAAAAATATTTACTGCTTTACCTGTATCCGCTAAAAACATCGCTGTCCTCCAAAGCGTCGCCAAGGAAACAAAGCAAGGCGAAAACGTCGCCATACAAAAACATCGCGGGATAAAAGAAAGCAAGGTATAAACGTCATCGTACAAAACATTGTAAGAGAAAACAAAGCAAGGCGAACATCGCAACGTGGTATAAAATATTGTCTCCAAAATGGTAAAATTTATTGGAGGTAACCAAATGGTGTCTGCAAAATGAAGAAAACAAAGCAATGAGAACGTCGTAGTCCTCATCATGATATAAAATCTTGTTTGCGATGTTCAAAAGCATTGTTTAGTTCAAAACGGTGTTCAAAAGCTTAGAATATTAATGCTACGTATAACAATTAATGGAATTTTAAATTTAATTACTGTACTTAGCTATTAAAATTTATTATTTAATTAATCTCTTTTATTAAGTTGTACTGGCATTTTTTAAGAAAAATATAGTTAAAAAAAGCATCGCATTTTTAAACTATCGTCGAAGGAAAAAAAAAGTGGTAAAAAATAAACACCTGCAAATAATCGCAAGATATAACATGGCACACGTATATGTGTTTCTCAGGCTTTAAAATTTACAAATGTATATTCGCCTACTGGTTTGTGAACTCAAGTAGGAATGAAGTATTTTATTTAAAAAAATAATTTATTTCAGCAGAATATTATTATTCTTTGTATCTCGAATTTGTAATTAATACTTTTTTGCTAAACAAAAAGAAGGTAACTTAAGCATTTAAAAACTAAAAATGAATAGAAAAATAATTCTACGTATAGCAATTAATAGAAATTTAAATTTAATTACTGTACTTAACTATTAAAATTCATTATTTAATTAATATCTTTTATTAAGTTGTATTGGTAGTTTTTTGGCAGTTTTTCAGGAAAACTACAGCCCAAGAAAGATTAGAATAGCAGATAAGTAACTGCATGAGGTTATCTATATTAAAAGTGTTTAATTAATTAACAAATTGTAAAATCAGTTATATATGTAAACGATGCTAACGTCATGCGACAATTTGTAGCCGCTCTAATTTTTACCACGGTATTTTCTACGAAAGTGTTTAAAACTGAGAAGTATTTGAATTTCTTTATTTTCGATGATGATGTTTTATACCTCGATGTTTTAAAAATGCAATATTTTTTGTTCGTATAATCGCTTGTCTTATATTGCTCTTCATTAAGTTCTATCCGGTACATTTGGAGAAATTAAAAGGAAATTCAGGAATATTTGAATTGCTGCAAAATATGCAACAGCTAATGTGCTGAAGGGAAGGTATGCCTTTGGATAGTTCATTTCTGACGAATAGTTACTTAAAAAAAACCGTGAGATCCCCATGTAGATAATCTTTTTGCTAATATATAAACTCGGGTTAAACTACAGGTCTTCAGTGACTTTACTACTCAGCCGCTCTGAAAATTTCAGAAAAACAGTCTCTCTTCTCTTAACTATGAAAAACAATGCATTTCATTTACGAAATTTATCTGTGCCTCCCTAATAAATAAAAATGTACAATCCTTAAAATTATTTTAATCAATTTTAATTAAACAAATATTTCAGATTTTGCTTTTCCTACAATGCTTTTGTATTAGGTCATTTATTATTATTTCTCTTTTCTTTTTAAAATATACTTATCTTAAGGTGAATTGATTTGATATCCTAGAGATTTGAGATTCTACAAATATCTATAACTTGGATTCAAGAAAATTTTGGATTCGTCTTATCAACGACAGCCGGAATAGTAACAATAATAATTCCGAATTGATGTGGCTTACGATCATTGATGATTAGGTAATTACATCATCAAACGCAAAACCTTTGTATTTACTACCATTGCACAAACACATATACATATAATTTGATTCTTACACATGATCTTCTGATCGGATATTTGATTAATCATTTATTCTGAATTTATTAGCTTTTTCTTTGATTTTTGTGCTAGTTACTTGTAGAATGTTCATAGAATAACTATATATTGGATAATTAAAGGACAAATGCCAGATTCATTTTCACGTACTTTATTGCATATACGTAAATTCTATATGCTGATAGCTTTTCTGTGGCTTTTTGACCTCCGTATTTACCCGAAATTTATCGTCATCTTCTGAGTAATATGGAGTTGACCTCAGTATCTATTTCTATGAAAACTGCTTTAGTAAAACCAACTCTTTTTTCTTCTGTTAATAGCTTTAGATTTATCTGTCTTTTCAGAAATTTTAGCAACATTCAGAAGCAGAATAACTTTGGTTAAATTATGAAACAGATTATTAAGATTTGAATTTTTTTGTTAAAATGTTAAACTGAAATATAATTGTACATTAACAAATATTATGTTTCATATGCTGCCATAAATTTATTCTAGCATATATAAATGCTGCAATTTGGAGCACCAAATAAATGTGCTTTATAAATTTTTTAATATTTAAATAAAAAATAAATATAAAGCAAAACGAAAATGAAATGCTATTAGTTATTTATTCTATACCTGAGAATTATTAAACATTAGCGTTAAATGTATTGTTAAATGTATATGTTTTATCCATAAAGAATAATTTTATCTTACTTCACTATTTAGGTCTATTTCAAAGAGCTATTATGCAGAGTGGATCTTCTCTCAGTTCTTGGGCTATAGCAAGAGACGCTATTACTCATACTGCCCATATAGCTAAGGTACTGGATTGCCCTGCACAAGACAGTACAGCTTTAGTCGAATGCATGAGGAAAAAGAAACTAGAGGACATCATGGGTGTTCACATCCAGGTTCCGGATCACTTATCTGGATTTGGACCTACGGTGGATGGCATAGTACTACCTCAGGATCCAGCGGAAATTATGGAAAAAAATCCTTCAATATTTACTCAATATGACCTTATATTTGGGATTACTAGGGTGGAATCATATTTCGAGTTCTCAGCAATGGAAGAAAAATTAGGAATTGATAGCGGACGCAGAGACAGGCTTCTGAGGACTCTAGTGAGAAATCTCTACACATATCACCTTCAAGAGGTAATTATTTTTAATAATTTCTATTTTATATGAACTTGCATATTATTTGCATACTCTAAGAAAGTAGAATACTTAACAAAACATCTATTTAAATATCGATGGTCATAATAGGATTATTAAGAATGGAAATCTGATGACATACTGATTTAACAAATATCAGTTCCGTTCTTACATTATAACAGAAAGCTAAACTTTCATGTGATGTTAAGGTATACACAAAGTGAATAATGTTTTCTTTTTATTATTATTTTTATTAATCTGAGGCACTTACTCCAAATTCCAATATTCGTCGAAGTAAAGTAGAGAATTTCATGAAAATATTTCAACATTGAGAGGTATATTTGTTCTCAAAATATAAAAATTATTTACACAAAACTAACGTATTTATACAATACAAACCGATACAGTACAACAAATACCAATACTGTCTAGAAAACTGCAATACAATACAAACAATTCAAAAGCAGTACAATTACCTTACTAACTACTTATACAATATACCTACTTATACAACAGGAAACCTACTTAAACGTGGCTTCTATCGAGAAAAAGCCCTAAATGTATATAGTCCTTATACTTTATGAAATTAAATATTAAACTTCCATATATTTGCATCGCGAAAATATCCGTGTTTCCTAATTTTATAGGATTAGCTACAAAATTAACAAGTGTTATTTTGCTCTATATAATACCATTAAAAGAACAACGCAGAATTATTGCCTAGTTTAGAAGCATCGGCTTTACGCTTTGTTCTTAAAACTGAGAAAAAGTAGTCAGATTTGTTCAATGATAAGTTTTGTAAGATGATCTAAGGCAATAAGTTCATTCTGTAGTATCTGCAAAATTTGCATCTCAGGTATGCGATTTTTCCATTGTTTAACTTTTAAAAACAGAACGGAAATTTTACCTTTGACTGTTTCACCAACTGAACATCATCTTAAACAATACGCTTTAAATTTATTATGCTCTATGTCTAATGTTGCAGTTGCAACATTACAAGTCACGGTTGTCTCAATAAATGGAAATATTTAAGTGTGTTTTCTGAAGGCACTTCTGCATAGTATGAGGATGGAAAGCGAATATCTTAATGTTGCATCTTCTGAACTTGGAGGTTGCATGCTATGGACGACGCAGGTCGAGTCATTGGCGGTGTAGGAAATCAATAATATTTTTGATATTTTGGAAGACTTTACGGTGCTTAATGATGAATTTCCTAAATTCTATTCCAGTACCGATGGGATGGCGAATATGATTGGCTCATGTTAGCCGGACACTGAGGCATTATTATTATAAAGGCACAACCCCTATCCTCGTAGCCGAAACAAGGCGGCCGTATACTCAAATTATGGCCATGTAATGTTCAAGGTCTCCACTCCCCGCATATGCATCTATCTGACGTAGCCATATTGCGTTCATTAAAAATACTTGCTGAGTATATTAAGGGTGGTGTTGCAGTTTTCCTCTATTTGTCTTCGTGCAGATCCTTGGATTATGAAAGTAACACCGTCGGCGAAGGCAATAATCCGTGTGTGATTTGGCCACTGCTGATCAATAATATTATTAAACGTGATGTTCCAGAGGTCCGCGAACATACACGGCCCTTGGTTACAAACTCTAGTTTGTTTTCTGGCGACTAAGGTATTGTCGTAAATTACTACATTTTGTCTGTTCTTGAGGTAATCCGTAATCATAAGGTACAGTTTTCCTGGGCATTGAGTGTTTTGACGAGTTGCAGCTATTTGCTCTTTGTAAATTACCTATCATTATTTGGTCGATTAATGGAAGTTCTTAATTCTCGTTCCTCTGGGATGTCTTCGTCGCTGTTGTCTTTTGGGAACATATGGTCTAGTATGTTGTTAAAGCTTCTGTCGAGACTTTGAAATTGTTGTGAATATTGATACTATTGGGGTGTGTATCTGGGTCGGCTTGAAAATCGTTGAAATGGCTATTTTATAGGGTGCTCCATAAGCGTTCTGGTTATTGTTGCTAAAGAAGATCCAAGATTTGAATTTAGCTTTCGTGATTTTCTTCTTATAAATTGTCATTTGCCTGTTTTATTCGTCCCACGCTGTTGTGCTATCTTCGTTGTTGGTGCGGGACTTTCATCTTTGTCTTAGCGCTCTGGGCTTTTGGCGCGCGGTACGCAGTTCTTTGGCTCATCAGTTAGCATTTGTTTCGTTGGTGGCTGGCTTTAATTTGAAGGATGCATGGAAGCATTCTTGAATAAGTTGTGTGAAGTGTATTGCATATGTGTTGACATCTTCTTTGGATTTGGTCTGGGTGATGATTTGTAGAATGGATTGATCTTTTGAACTTAATAGTTTGATAAACATTTTCTCTGTGCTGCTAATAATTTGAAAGCTTTCGTCTGTAATTTTTCTATTTTCTGGGAAATTTCAAATGTGATGTATTTGTATTAGCAGCCTAAATTAATTTCCTTCTCTTTTCTAAAAATAGTAACCCCTCTCAATGACGCAGTGCAGAGAGTGTGTTCTATGTCATATGATTCTTACGTAATTATGATGATGTAAAAGGAACTTAACCAGCCAATAGTAATTTTAGAGCAATATTAACTATTCAATCAAAATGCTTTGAGAATCAAAACTATCTCAGTCTGATTTAAGATTTCATCCTGAACATTACGCACTTAACTTTCCACGCTTTGGCCTAGCTACACTGCTGTCTGTCTGCTCTGATTTCTTGCTACAAAATTTCAAAAATGTAAGCCTTTTGGAACATGCACATTTAATGTGCCGATATGTGTGTAGCCGCAACATGTTGCCGAAAATAAAACTGAAGATTTAATCTGCATTCGCCATCCAAATTCCTGCTACTGAGTATATTACATATATATGTATGTATTGCATATATATATATATATATATGTGTGTGTGTGTGTGTGTGTGTGTGTATGTATGCATGCATGATGTTGTAGTTTTTCTGAAAGACGAAACCGATTCTCGCGTTAGTCATGGCCAAGAAGATTGTTGCGTACATGACGACTAGTGGGAAAATCACAACTGGCTTGATTGGTTAAAATATAATTTTTATTTTTCACAGGAATAATTATTAAGCAATACATCTTTGCTTAAATATGGTGTAAAACTACTGGTTTTAAACACGCCCAAGATTTTCTGTATACAAAGTTTGAATATCAGAAAATAAAGAAAGAAGGCAAATTGAGAGACGTGGTTTACTCCAGCAACATCAAGTGAAAAAAAGCAATGCGTACTCACTTCAATCCTATTTATAGTCGGAAAGTCTTTGTACTAATCTTGAGCAGTGATTGGGCTAAAAAAAGTCGCAGTGCAAAGAAATTGCAGTGGAAGAGTTACGTAAGATGCGGCAGAGGAATACAAAATGGTGCAAAGCGTAGTTTTGAAGGGGGGATGTGTTTAAGTAAAATTTCTGAATCTGGAGTTCTATTAACAGTTGATTTCAAGTAAATTTTACAATTTTTTTTATTATTTTATGTTTTACATATACATAGACACGTTTTTCATTACTTTTCATATAAAATTAACAGTCTTGGTTTGGAATATTTCAAAATCAAAATACACATTGCGATTTAGCCTTTTACAAACAGGTGCACGCATGGTATTTTCTGCTTCCTTGATTTTCGGAATTTGAGAATTTGGAGGTGGGGAAGATTTTATTTACTTTTATTATTATTTTGGACCGCCCTTAATAGATAAAGTTTTCTTTATGTTTAATAGATAAAATTTTCTTTATGTTTGAATGTAACAGACATGCATTATTTTCCTTTGGTTTTCAGAATTTCAGATATATCAGTATTGATTATTTTTTATTTTTCCACTGTTCTGTTTCATTCAGCGGATTATTCTTTTATCTGTAGAACACAATGTTAACTAACAGAATAGGTCTCTTCCAATTAATTTATTGAGCACAATGAGAGCACAGGTTTAAAATACCTGAGCTGGTTGTAGCAGGAGGACTTTATTTGTTAATTTGTCCTATTTTTTGGCAAGAACTGGGGAAAATTTAATATGTTGGAAGTGATGAATTTTTCTGGCCTTTAATTTCTCTATGACATGTCAATATTGTTTGAACGCAGTCAGCTTCCCAGTTAACAAGCAGCTTCAACAGAAGGCATAAACCTTTGCAGGGGATAATCCATTAAAGCAGAATTTCACTATTTATAGCATCAAGATTAAATTCTGACATTACGTCTTACATACTGCGTTGCTAAATATGTTGTATAGCCCATTAGATAGATCCGTTCTTAGAAAAGTAGTGTTTTTTAAAAATATTTCAGTGATTTTTTTTGGAAATAAAAAGTAGTTATACATATATTATAAATAATAATTAACCTAAAAAAAAATTCAAAACCGCCTCTGTAAACTAAGCTTAACGACGTTATTCAGAGTTTTGTATAATTCATAGAACACGGTGCTCGTTACGGAAATACTGCAGCACATGTATATTCTTATTTAAATTTTACATGAAGATTCTTTGATTAGAACTTTATGTGCCTATTTTATTAGGCGGAATCATGAGTAATCTGAGGTTGTCAGGAGACAGTCCTATAATAGCAGAGTATATCGATTGCTTGATGACACTTCTTTGAAGCAGCCGACATTCCTTTTTCTTACCTTTGGGAAAACGTCCACCTTCTCCTTCAGATAGATTTCTCCCAAAGGAAAAAAAACGCGAGAGTTTCGGCCCAAGCTATTTAAGTGAAACTAGGTCTAAACGTAAAAAGGATAAAAAGTATTTCGAAACGGAAAGATTCTCCTGATGAATTCTGTTTCAGAAAACTTGAATCAAAAATGTTAGAAAGAAAGATGGTTCGAGATTCCTCTGATTAAACTATCATTACTACATGCAAAACTGTTATTAGGAACTTGCATTAGAAATTCAAGCTAATTATAGATCATCAAAAAATGATAATGTAAAGCTTTTTAAAATTAATTACTCTTCATAAATTTGAGCATGTAAAAATAAAACGAATATTATAAACGAAACTAGTTTATTAAAAT